CCGATGCTGAGAACCTTCCAGAACATCGCCGCCAGGAGCGAGATTCTGGAGAACGACGATCGTCACAGCGTGTCCAGACGATCGACCAGGTCTATGTTCGAGGGATCCGAATACGATCGTTACAACCGTGGCAAGCGGCGAAACGATACGATGTTCCGATTCACCGCCGGCGACGACGCGATAAACGCGAAAGTCCGCAAGGCCATCGAGAATTCCTTCATCAAGCAGATGGAAGAGAACGCGGCCGTGGAGAACGGGACGAAAAGGAATATGAAGGACGACAGGAGCAACAAGAGCGAGGACGAGTCGGCGAAAACAGACAGGTCGTCCAGCAACACAGAGAAATCGGAAAAATCGCAGCAACCCCAGCAAAACAATTCCGTGCCGAAGAAATCGAGGAAACCGAAAGCGCCGAGCGCACCGCCGTCGAAGAAGAAGGAACTTCCGGACATGATCAACGAGCTGCCCGGCGCGAGAAACACCGCGAAGCGCATCATGGACGCCGTGATACGCGAGATGGTGGACGTGAAAGCGTTGGATCATCATCATGTGAAATCGACCGATCGCGCGACGATCGGCGACTATGAGGTGGACAGTCTGGAGCGTGCCAAGTGTAGCCGGAAGTCATCCACGTCGCCGGATCAGTCATCGACGGACAATCAGTCCAGTCCGGCGCTGTCCACGGCGCTGCCGATGGACGAGGAGCTGACGATGCAGAACGCCGTGATTAACACACGCACCGGCGAGATGACGATGTCGAAGCTCGGCAATCAGATCATCGCCGAGAGAAACCGCTACAACAATCTGCCGGAACTGCTCAGCAATCAACGCGCGGAATACTCGCTCGTGAGTGAGGTGTACGTGAACGACGGCTACGCGAGTCCGGCCTGCAGTGACGACAGTGGTCCAGAGATCCAGTACGAACCGGAGAACCCGGGCCACTTGACTATCAAGGTGCAAGACTCGCCGGAAAATTACATCAAACTGGACGAGTCCGAGTACGAGCCGGACACGCTGGACCGGAAGCCGATGAAGCTGCGGATCAACGACGACGTGCACTACGATCGGGAGGAGATTGCCAATGAAGTCTATGTGGACTCGCTGGAGCGACCGGCTCAGATTTTGCTGAAGAGCAAAGGCAGCTTCCGCAACGAGAATTCCGCGCTGCAACGCGACCACGGCAGTCTGCGGGAGATCTATGAAGCGAAGATCAAATCAATCTCGAAGGACGCGCTCTTGACGAACGGTCACGACGTGAAGTGTCAAACGAACGGCGATTCGGACGGCACTGTTTCGTGGAAAAAGTGCCGGTATCTAACGCCGGACAGCAGGCAAGCGAAGAGACAACGAAAGCCGCACAATCAGCCGGACGTGGTGCCGCTGCCGCCCACGGAGGAGATCTATCAGCGGCCGAAGCTGCCGCGGCGCGTCGAGGACGCGAAGCTACTGCCACCGCCGTCGTCTCCGTCAAAAAACGCCTGGGACAGGAGTCCTGTCGAAGCGGGTGACCCTACGGCCAGCAACGGCACTCCTGTCCTAAAAACCGACGGATATCATGTAGGGAACTGTCTCTGCGCGCCGCAGACTCGATCTGGCGTCGCGACCGACGAGATGCACCGCGAGGACGTTGCTTTGACAGAAATAATGTTTCTCGACGAGAGGATCGACGATCGTACCGTGACGAACGGTTGCAGGGACTGCCCGTGCGAGACGCGAATCGAAATCGACGATTCTGCGGACGGGTACAAGTTCCATGGAGACGTTGGCGCCAAGGAGGAAGTATCGTCGCGAGGAACGAAGGCGACTCGGGAGAAACGGGCGGCCGTGAGCTCCTCACATCACAGAAGCTCCGCAAAAAATTTCAGGACGCGATCAGGATGGAACGTTGATAATCATCGGGAGGACGAAAGCAGATTGATCAATAATGACAGAGCGCCGAATTGCTCCAAGACGAGGCAGATGATGAAGGGTCTGTCGAGGAGCTGCGACGCGTCGAACTTGGACAACGCAATGCTGCCACTGGTGGCGGACAACCGACGCGGTCACGTCAAAGTCGAGGACAGCGGCTACCTCAGCAGCACCGACAGCAACGGCTCGCACAAGCGGCTGCTGAGGCACGATGTGAGCAGCGTGTCCGAGGAGACCGACGAGACGGAGTCAGTGTGTGACGGCGCCAGCGAAAGCGGCGCCGAGAGCATCGGCACTGACAGCGTGTTTTTTGGCAACTTCCGCCGATTGTCCGAGATGTCGAAAAGCGCAGACTCCGGCGTGGATCTGGATCCGAAGAATCCGCCGTGTTACCAGCCGCTGTTCGGCGCGAGGCACGACGTCGCGGTCGTCCTGGAGAGAACAAACTTTAGTGCCAGCGATAGCGAAACCGAAAGCCTCGTCACTGTCTTACCGCCCTGCAGTAGCCAGTGCAACAGTTTGGTATCGTGATCGTGGAAGCATCCGATCGAAATAGGTAATCTCTGCAAAGATTCTCTAGTAGAATCTATAAAATAGGTATAAAATAGTGAATACCCTGTTTCGAATCGTTTTGATGTTTCCATCAAATAAAAGCAATTGATAGAAATAAATTAATACTGAACTTTATTTATAATATTATTAATAATTTGATATAAAAAATATTATTACTCCTGGCTTTAATGATATGGTTGTTATAATCACGTTGCAAGGCATCCGTAAATTAAATATTATACTGCTCTCATAAAAATATAAGAACACATTATGATATTTATCGTAAAAATAAATTCTTTGCGGTGTGTGAAAATGTCAAAGCATCAAAATCTTTTTTTCAATCCGATAGAAATCTTTTCTATTGATATTAGATTACATCGTAATAATGTCATGGTGCAATATAATACTACTTTTAGAGCGTAAGTAAAAATCAAAATACGATTTGCCATCGTACGCTAGATAGAATATCAAATATTGAATTCAATATTGATAGAATTAAAAAGTGTAATCGCATTAGATTTTTCAAAATAAAGGTTGAAAAGAATTACAATTTCGTAAATGATTAAGTTGAAAATTTTAATAAATTGTATAAATTTTGTAACTTTGCAAGGCCAGTATAGAGAAAAACTAACTTACAAATTAATTATTAAGTAAATAATTTATAATCACGATAGTTTTACAAGTATTACGATTAAATACAAAGCGCTGTGCGCGCTTAAAAGTTCATCAAGCAGGTATTGATATATTTTCCTCGCTCAGTTGATAAGAATAGAAATTGATTTCTGTGGGCTAAATATTTTTTTATATTGATCTATAAGTTGAATCTAATATATTTAAACACAGAAACTCAAAATATCATTATGAGGAACATATGCATATGCACACAGTAGTTTTGTTAGAATTTATTTGAATTAAAAATATTAATTTAAAGAAATATCACACAGTGTGCGATAAAAAAAGATTTATAACTAATTATATTTACAAAATAATTTTTCAGAAATAATATATGTTATATATTTATTTATATTTATTACTTTTTAAACTAACATATTAAACAAAACACTTGGAATAAATGCATGATGATAGTATTTTTATTGTAGATAAAAATAAAAACACTTATTTGTTGTTTTTTTTTTTTTTTTTAAAGTTAATTGCAATTATTGCAATCTAAATTATCGTAGCTACTGTAACGGAAACAATATGCTGAGCGCATTATTGGCCGGAAGTGCAATATTAGTCCGTAATAAAACGAAACTGCACGAGCTATAAATTAAATAAGTAATTTGCACAATAATACATTAATACGCTATAGTGTAATTAAAAAAAAGTATGGGAATAAGAACTCACATAAAATAGGCAAAAATAATTTCTATAGAATAACAGCTCAAAAATGAAATAGTTAATTAATTAAGATGTTATTCTTCGATTATAAATTATGTTAAACATCTTTGTGAGATGTTTTAAAAAATGTTTTAAAATTTATTCTTTTAAAAATGTTAATTATAATAAAAAAGAATAATTAATATAAATAAGTGAATAGTAATGATATCTTGCCAAAAAGGTATTAAAGTCCTACATATACTTTCTTAACGTTAATAGTTGTTATACACCACACAGCAATTATTGTTATCGTTTTCTTTTTATTTTTATATTGCTCAAAACCGTAACTATATCGTAGTTATTAAAAGCAGTTTACAACATGACTGGCATTTTTTATTATTAATAGCTAATTCTACATACGTTAAAACGATATAATGTGGAAAGTAGTGTAATGAAATGCTTGCAATGATTGCAAACGTGCAACATAATGTATGCAATGATTGTAAATGTGTAATGCTAACAAGAACTATATATTTTATACGACATAATTTATGAATTTAAGATATTTTCGTACTTAAAATATATTTTATCGTTATACATCAAGTGATTTTGCATAAACTAAGTAGATCATTTTAAAAAGTTTATTTGTAATTATTTTGTTTTCGAAAGTTTTATATTTGATATTTAATATGTAATAGTTATGTATTAAATTAATATATTTTTATCTATTTTAATGAAACTGTTGTAATACTAGAAGCGCACGCTTCCACGTACCTGCCAAATGTAAATATTGGAAATAGATTCTAATATATACTGTTAATTATATTTATACGTTCTATTTAATATTATTTTGCAATTCGCTATTTTAATAAAGATATAAATATATTTTATATTAAACGTTTATAAATATATAATATATTATGAATATGCCGTTACGATCGTAAATATTTCCGAGAGCTCTATAGAACACCTGATTCAAATATATATTTTGTTACGTTAATATATCTATATGTTAAATGTAATGCCTAAATTAAGTTATTATACAAAGATGTGTATAAAGTAATTACACAAATGTATTTAATAAAATCATCAATCATCTAAATGTAATAAAAATAATACGCACAACTGCACAGATTATGTAATATTTATTATATCGTAACTTTTAAAATTTATAGAAAAATATACAATATATTTTTCAAATATTTTTTAAGTTATTAACAATCTTGTTTCCATAAAAATTATTTTATTTTTTAAAGAATCCATTTAGATGCTCGAATTAACAATAAGTTTTGTACGTTGTTAAATGCTCGCAAGCGATCGTAACGTAGCATTCGAGATTATGGGAAAAAAATTGTTATAATTGCTCGGTCATTCTGGCTTGAGCAAATTGGTGTCGGTAGGTTTCGGGTGTGTCAAGCGCTTCAAAATAAAATATGCGTTATCGAAGAAATTCAAGAGTTATTTATTAACTTAGACGTATCGAACAATAGTCCGACTTTTTTATTGCGTGATAAAACTTTGTTGAGTATGTCATAATATTTAATCGAAACAACGTTGTTATTCTAGTTATGCAAAACATCACCTTGTATATACATGTATAACAAATTTTCACTATTTTATAATAAAAACTGTTAATGGGAAAAATGTAGAACTTCCAAATTCTCTTATATGTACGTATTCCTATAAAAAGAATATATATTAGATTGGTCGGAAAATAATTGCAATTTTTAACCGTTCTTTAATTGAAAATATATTTGATTTGACTAAAATGAGTTGAGTCTTGGCTAAAATTTTATGTAATTATTTTATCCAGAATTTTCGTTTTAATAATTGACTACCATATTTAAGTTTTGACATTGGTAGAATTGACACTAAACGCACTTTAGATTTATCCAAAACATATGGATTGGAATATGATTATATTTGTACAAATATAAACGATACAATAATATAATATAAATTACAATAATTCTAGCAATAAAAGTTGACTCACTTAACGTCTAAGAATTATGTATTTTTATATACATTATATTATATTACATACATGTTTTTAAGATATAGAGATTTTGCTATCTTCAACATTTTCTATCAGTTTAGACGATGTAAGTAGTGTTTCTGAGAGAGTTTCGAGTAATTTATTTTTGTAATCAAATATCTTTTTTGAATCAAAATCATCATGTGCAATAAATCCTTGTTTCTTCAATGAGTACTGCACTAGAGACCACATAATATCCTTAAATTTTAAGAGCACGTCAGCCGTACTAAAAAAGAACAAAAATTTAAACAAACTGAAGCACATTAAAGAGAAAAATGTGAAATAAGATATATAAGTACTTACTTGTTATCACAGGAAAATCTTAAGCAATGTTTTTTATTGATATTAATTATAATTTCCGTCCTGTCATCATCGTGCTGAAATCCAAAATATATTATAAATTGCCTAATATTATTTATTACCTAATTATGCATATCAATTAAAAGAAATATAAAATTATTTAATTACCTTGTGACATTGTGTATTTCCTTGGCTAAAAAGTAATACTGTTAAGGGTGATATCATGCTTGTTTCACGAATCACCGTACCACGTCTCATTTCACAATGTGTGCTATTAAAGTATGTCAAATAAGGACTCGGCCAACTTTTTCGTTTGTAATTAACACTTTCCCCCGAAATTACAACCTTGGCATGATTTCTATAAAAGCAAGATTGTTATAAGTCTCGTCTCTAAATTTAAGTTTGAAGTTACGTAAAGTTTACTTACTGCGTTCGTAATTCGTTGACACCAGTTCTCAGAATTCCATTCTTAAATCCTATGTCTTTATGTTCTATCAATTGTTGTGTAGCAGAATATATTAAAGCGCGTACTAGTTCGTCATTATTCTCGTATTTGTTTGTAGCAATATCGAAATTTTCACAATGCGCTACATCAACATTGGTCAATAAATGACTTTGGATCAACTGCTGAATAAATGTACCTCGTATTTCTGTAAAATTACGATTTTATGCATTTTAAAGATCCATCGATAAACTGAAGAAGTTGAATAAAGTTCGTAGACAAACAGCAAACAGATAGCAATAATTAGATAAAAACAAGTCATATCATACAATAATGTTACTTACGGTTTAATATTTGCATTCTATTCAGTCGGAGCTTCATCTTTTTACCGAACTTCGATATTAAATTTGGATTCGTAGTGTTGTATATAAACCATTGCTTATATATCCATGCTATCGCGATATGATCACTGAATGGATGGTATAATTTCTTGTTTTCCCTGATATCAAGTTTGTGATCCAGTACACCATAAAAAAGATTCTCTTCGCCAGAAAAAACACTGGCTATCGTTACAACGGGATGTATACAGCTATTGTAAAAATGAAATGAATATTGATCGGTTAACGTTGGCAGAGAAAAATCTTTGAAAAATAATCAAGATATAGATGTTATGTTATTTAAACTTACTCGAAAATGGAAGAATATACTAATGCCTTGCTAAACTTAGGATGCGCCGGAATTAACATCATTCGTTTACCCAAAGTTGTAAGATTCTCCTCGTTGTCCAGAACTTCGAGGTCTATTAAGTACTCCACTGCCTTTTGTATTGTGACTGGATTAGGTGGTTGCAGTAATTTACCCAAAAAGTCAATCGCCTTTTCATTCGTGTACGTTTTACTGTCGAGAATTACTTTTTCTAGAGGATTGCACAACACCTGCGGCATTGGATGCGATTCTAATTTCTTATATTCTGCCATTGTAATTAAATGATAACTTTCACCAGGTTTAACTCGTCCAGCTCTCCCCTTCCTGCACAAAAATAATTACTTTTATACAAAATCTATAGTATTCGGTTTAATTAATATTTTGATCAATAAATTTAATATTTAAAAAGTTTACTCTTTAGACTTCTTCATTTGAGCGCAAGTATTATAACTTCGTTACAATTTAATACAATTATTTATTTTTGGTAATTACCGCTGATGGATGTTTGCTTGAGAGACCCAACGATTGGCTATGTATGACAAATTTTTAATATCGTCCCATCGTGACTCCTTTCGTATGGCAGAATCTACAACGTAAACTACATCGGTAACAGTGATGCCAGTTTCAGCAATATCCGTGGCCAAGATAATCTTCCGCATGTTCGCGGGCGCATGTTGAAAAATCTTGCGCTGTTCATTGTGCGATATTTTGGAGTGAATCGGCAAAATTAGATTTTCAGAATCGAGAGTAGATTCCTCAAGCATAGTCTGCACAGTTGCAATTTCGTTCCATCCTGGTAAAAAGCATAAAATAGCACCAGGTGGTTTATGCTGAGAAATCCATCTTATAATTTGTACTATTTTCTCAAAATTAACTGTAATTCTTTCATTTTCATTATCGTTGTATCTATATCTGATGTATCTATATTTCTGGATATTCGGTAGGCGCTCGATATCTTCCAGAAAATTCATTTTGACGGGATAGAGTCTCCCGGGTATTTTAACAGCAGGGCAATCAAAGTATTGTTGAATCAAGTGTGCATTTATAGTCGCTGACATAATCAACACTTTCAAATCAGAATTTTGTTTGAGGGCTCTCTTGAGCAAGATCATCAGCATGTCGGTGTCGATCTGGCGTTCGTGCGCCTCGTCCAAAATCACATGTGAGCATCCTACTAAATTAGGATTGCTCTGCAACTTTTTTAGTAGAATACCCGTAGTACAAAAAAGTATCCCACCGAGTTCTCTCGGCAGTGCATGCTCCAATCTCACTTGAAAACCCACAACATCCCCCACTTCCTCATCTCTTTCGTGCGCGATGCGATCTGCTAGAGAGATCGCCGAGATTCTACGTGGCTGTGACACCAATATATTGCAATCTGTAGCATTCCCATTCTGTGCAAAACTATCCATTATAAATTGAGGAACCTGGGTAGTCTTACCACATCCTGTATCACCTTCTATCAGTAGAACACGATTGTTTTCTAATTTAGAGAGAATTTCATTCCTATAAAATAATATATGTTAAAAAAAATACAAAATAAATATACATATTTGCATACAAATGTAAAAAATATTATGCATTTTTACTTAAACTCGAAGATTGGTAGGTTAACTTCATTGGTGCTTCTTTCAAATAATCTTTGTCTCAATGTAGTATTGCGAGCTTCTTTGTCGGTATACGTTGTTTTTCCAACAATTGGATGATCAGGTACAGTTTGATATATGGTATTAAAGCAAGGAGTATTAAAAACATCTTCCCATGCTGTTAAGTTCCGTATTTCCTAAATATTATTAATACACATGTAAAACTTTCAAATATTATACAAATCAATGAAATATTTATAGACCAATAATCATAACACAAACATTACCTTGTCGTAAGTTTCAACCAAATTTATCATGTTATTTAGAATTCCGGGAGTTACATTTAGTTTAATTGGCTTTTGTATATCCCTTAAGTTTTCCTTATTATAGATGATCGGTTTACCATTTTTCAACTTTTCATTCATTTCTAGCCAGTGTAAGCATTTCATAGCTGCATTCTTAGAGGCTATTCCTTTAGTTTTACCAATTCCATTAAATGACATAACTTCTGGCCATTTGATATTAAGAGTAATTTCCCATGTTTTCGATCGATTTATGTACTTAGAACTTGAACTTAGAAGTTTTTGGTCATTAAATTCATGACCTACTATTGTATAAATAGATACTAAAGAAGATTTCGCATCTGGATATAATCGTTCTACTCCTAAAATTTAAAAAATTTTATTAAGTGGAATAAGTTGACGAACAGCTAAATAAATTATACAGAATGCATTATTTTTCTATTCTAAGTAAATTTATTTTGGAAAAATTATATATTAATATTCTACAACTAATATATTTTTACTACAAATAAGAATAAAATAACATACAAAACACAACCTATGAAATACAAGCATAAGAACGAAATTTTATATAATGCTACTTTAATTTTAATATTCCGTTTCTAACCTATCTTTTATCTATCAATCTTTTTGCTTTAAAAAAATGTTTATAAAAAAATTCTTTATACATACTTTTGAAAATTAAGGATTCCTTATTAATCCTTTGAGATGTAAATTTATTAGACTTAGACTCCTCTAAGTTGTTGATATCTTGCTGTTAACAAAGATTTTTGCTTATTACCTTTGATAATCAAAAATTTATTATAATTGATTGTGTATTGCTTACCTCTATTACTTCATCTAATTTAACATTTTCATTTAAAATGTTTTTGTCTGCTATATTTTTGTACTTCTTTATCTAGAATGTTAAAAATAAAATAAATAAATTTTTATCTGGAAATATTATTTTTAACTATAATCCAAAGTTATATGTTTAAAGTTACCTGTGATAAATCTCTATCTTTGTCTTTCACGTAAAAACAATATTGTGCTGTACTATGAATATGCGAGTTTTTAATTGCATTCTTGTATAAATATGATGTACAACAATGTTGAACCCTATAACAAAATTATTATAATTATTATTTATTGTACATTTCCTTTCAGATACAAAGTAAATTTGTATGAATAATTTACCGCTCTTACATATACTAATATCTATTTACTTAAAAAAAGTTTTAAGTATTTGTCGATGCTATGATATAATTTGATGTCCAAGTTAGAAATAACTCATTAGATCATAGATCATTAGAATAGATCATTGTTTTACAATAATACATACCACCTCAATCTCTGTCCAGCAATTAAAAATCTTCCTGGCATCTTGTTTGTGTATAATACACAATTTATATGATACTCATTTGAAAAACTATTTCTAGAAAATATTTATTTAAGCAAGCTGCTCAATCTAAAAAGCATATCATTAAAAATTAACGGTCTATATTTTGTTCATTTCAATTATCAGTCAAATTTAATCAATTCACGTGGTCATGTATTTTACTTAGGTTAAGTTACACGCTTACCTCGAGTAGAAATTGATAGAATAATTTCAACATGTGCGACAGCACAATTATGTATTCTAAACAAATTCGTCGAAATATATTATTCACATAAAATAACTGATAAGTATTATTTTTTATAAAAATGTCAGTTTTATAATTTAACGATTGAATGATGTTCTCACAACAAAAGTTACGTCAACATATCGGATAAACTGTGGAAAAGTAGCTCGGTTTGAATAACAAAAATCTTATTAGTTATAAACGAATAATAAGTGTTAAACGCGTTATAAAAGAGAAATAGAGCCTAAAATAATAAATAATACTTTACATGTAACATACATTGCTGTACTTTTATCAGGAACAAAATTTTTATTGATACTCAGACCGGTCACTATTTTTATGAACACCCGATATAGAGCTGTGTAAAAGTTAGGAACAGGTCAAGTTAGGTTAGGTTAGGTTAGGTTAGGGTTAAATTGCATTTCTGTTACATTTCGGAGTAACTCAGCTGCTATAAAAGCGGCTGTCCGTAAAAAAAATTTTTAGTATTACATAGACATGTTTTTAATTTTCATAAACCTGCTTTATTTTAACTACATCATGCATAATTTTACTGTAAATTTGCAAGCGGAAGAATAAAATATTTTAAATGTCGAAATTGCTTTAATTTTGAGAGAATAAAAGGAAGGTTATGTTGCACGTGAAAATCATCTGGTTACGGTGACACTTAAGTCTGCGAATATATCAAATAGAAAATGTCATATGAAAAGCCGTGTCGTGCTTGTACGGACTTTAGAACATGGGCAAAACGTCAAAAAGAAACCTATAACTCACAGAAGGCAAGTCAACAATTTATAATGTAATTGGTAAATCTACACTCAATAATCAGTACTTATGTCATCATATTCCTATGCAACAATTTTTATTCTTGCTTTTTGTTACTATTTTGTATTGATGTTAAACAAATTTTATTTTGTATAGGAAGCGCAGAAAAAACAAGATCAAACATCAGTTCCCAGTAATGGTACCAGAGACAACTGTCCTTTAGACAAAGATGAATTGGGTTCAAAGACTTGGGCCTTCTTACATACCATGGCTGCGTACTATCCGGATAAACCAAGTGAAAAACAAAAGACAGATATGAACAATTTTTTTCATGTATTTTCCAAATTTTATCCTTGCAACATATGTGCAGAAGATTTGCAAGAACAATTGAAACATTCACCACCAGAGACCACCTCGCAGGAAAAATTGAGTCAATGGTTGTGCAGAATACATAACGAGGTAAACAAGAAACTTGGAAAGCCAGAATTTGATTGTAAATTAGTGAATCAAAGGTGGAGGGATGGTTGGCTTGATGGCTCTTGTGATTGATAAGTAGCAATAATAGTTAAAATGTACAATGGGACCTGAATACAATATGAATTATTGTGTTGACTTTTAATATATCTTTTCATTGAAAACAACTTGTTGGTCTAAAATTGGTTTATGTAATATGTATATATGAAAATACATATAATGAAATATGTGAAAATTAATAACATATACACTTAAATTTTTTAAATACATTTTTTTGTAGAAAATAAAATAAATCATTTTCCATTGTTTACAATAAGAAACAAAATACTGAAATCGCATCATGCACTTTATTACAAATATCTTTGTGACAAGATAAGAGAATATTCATTTATATGATTCATTATAGTTTTAAAATTACTTACATGTAAATATTTGCCAGTGGCAATTCAATATTGCTATCAATATTATTCGGCTATTGAAATTTTTTTCACATGTCCATCCTGGTACAGGATGCAGATCAATGCAGAATTGCATTAAATCATAGTATAGTACAAAAATAATCCGATATTACAAAAATTATTTTTTAAGGCATTTCAATAATGGTGCAGTCCACCAATAATTGCACTTTCCTATCTATTATTTTTGTCATCTACGTATAGTGTGGTTGACTAAGGTAAGTTGGTGTTCGTGAGATAGTAAATGCTGTGACTGCAGTTCGAGGACCAGGCTCATAACTATGATCCTGCCCGTGACCACCTATAGGCACAACTCGGAATGTCCTAATGTGGAATGGAAAACGTTTGTTGTTCACAGATGGTCGAGTTACATATAAAAATGTTATATGACCCAAGAAGACAATCCAAAGGGAACTTCCTTTGGCGACGCTCTCTCTCACCCAGTTATCTACGAATACGGTGATGGTCAACACCTATAAAAATCAAAGAGATACATTGTATTTTTATGGAACATTTTGTTCCGAAAGGAACATAAATCATCATAAAATTATGTCAAATAAAATGACGCTTGATGAATATTATCTGTGAATACCGTTAATGGATGACAGAGGAACCACGCAGATCCCAAAGAAAGTAGCGAAGCGTAAAAATGGAGCTTTGTATTCATCTTCCTGATGGTCTTGCAACAACGAGTGATAAACACGAACCAGGCGATCAACTTTAACGCTATCAAAAAGTAGCCCGCTGGCGATTCGTAAATATACAGCACCTGTCCGGGATCGAATCCTTCAAATTGATAGATAAACAGCGACATTTGAAAGAAAGCGGTCAGACCGATAAACACCATAAGCCATCGGACTTGCGGCGCTGTAAGGACACTTTTGGTAACCGTAAAGCCGAGCGCTAACAGCAGCATGAGCAACGTGTACAGAGTCTCGGAACTCGCTTCCAAGAGCTGGCCTAATAAGTAAGCGTTTTCCACTGATGTTCCTCTCAGACCGAGATTAACGTAACTGTAAATCTCGCACAATGCACCCAATAATTGACACAGCAGGGAGGCCATGAACAGCTTATAGGATATGTGCAGCAATCTCCTGGAGCGCAGCTGCAACGCTACGTAGAAACTGAGTGTGACGAGTATCACGTAAATGCTAGCGGTCGCTATCAGCAGCGGCAATATATCTGCAATGAGAACAGACACGATTAAGGAACGCTATTCCGAAATAAGCTGATTGTCGTGAAAGTCAAATTACTTGCAGAATTCATCCGCGGAGAAGTGCTCCTTCCAGAATGAACCGGCCGGCGCGTTAGTCAGTGATAACCAATACGAGACGTTCAAACCTTTCGTGGAAGAGCAGTCGGCTAAAACCATGAACCACCATCTCGGTCGCACCGAGATGAATCTCCTCTGACTGTCGCATCGAATTATACCATCGTCACCCTCTACGCATCCCGAGAAGAAATCTATCGATGTATTCAGCGGTATTATTTGACCGTGACTGATATCGAGAACACTTTCTTTCTCTTGACATGACTTATTGGAAGGATAAACGCTGCGCCACTGATGAGGTCCATCATAGTACAGCAAAAGATTTAAATCACGCTCTTCGCCCCCTAATTGGAAGTGGTATCGGAAAGTACCACGCTCCGTTAGAAAACAGAATCTCGCAAGAAAAGCCCAGTTCTGAAAAATCATAATTTTATCACATTTTATTAATTTTTTATTCTATTTGTAGTTGACAAAATTTTATGATTTATTAATATTTCTTATTTTATTGTAGAGTGACTTCTGCATCAGTCAATATTATTGCCTACTATTTAAAATACAATAATTATAACGTTTTTATTTTCTCGATTATGTCTCATGCTATTAAAATATTTTTATTATAAATTTTTCAATTCTTCACTTGCAATTTTTGAAACGATATATCGGACTTTGCCATATAAAAGAGAAGTTACGTCTCCAAGCACCGTTAAAATTAATTTTTCACCATTTTTACATTTTAAACCGCACAAATTTAATAAAAAGTCATCTGTCATTTACAGCAGAGAGAGAAACTTGGTTTTGTTTGTACACGTCGCGCAAAAATATTGATTATGTAGAAGAGCCACAGAAGAGATGGATCGAAACTCCGCGAAAATCACGAATAATCCGAGCGAAATTATTCGCCAATCTATCCATTGTAATTACTTTGTTTGTCACCAATTCACCACGGAGTATTTTGGCATCGGTGTATCGCAGCAACGGTAAGTGCGCGATCGAGAAAAGTAGCAATAAGAACTCCAGTTTCGAGTTTCGAATGTGCGACGCTCGTGCGACAATTCCTCCGCACATAACTACCACGATCGCTATGGATGCACACTGTCAGCGGTCAAGCAAGCGCTTTGATCAATATTTCCCCGTTCCGTGACTCGTGTAACAAGCACCGATTTGATTATTTAGCGTCAAACTGTGCAACGTCGTCATTCATGACGACGGTGTGAATTATCGTCATAAAAAAATTTATGTTTGAATTCAATATTTCACATATTTTCTGTTATATTTTTCATGTTTAAACATATTTTTATTTTACTTTCTTTACACACAATATAAATTGTAGTATAGCTGAGAAAGTGAAATCTTAAATCTTCTTGTATCATCTTGCATCTTCTCGGACTTTCTGCATACAAAATGAAATAAATTCCAGTTTTAGGATAAAAAATAAAAACGATAAAGCGTAAAAATGCGTTTAAAACACAAAATGGATACTTTTAACTCGGCAAATGTGCGTTATCACTTGAATCATATACGCGCGTTAATTGATCGCATGTCCGTGACATTTGCGTGCATACCGCGCAAGCGGCATGTAGTATGCATGTGCAATGCGTCATTTTCTCGGCGGTTTCTTGGATTGATTATTTACAACGCAGCAAAGAGGAAGATACTACAACTGCAATTTATTCTATATAATATTACGCATTACTTTATATATTTAAAAAAAAAATCATTATTTTTTTATATAATAAATGGTAAACAATGAAATAAACAATCTATAAAATTTGTAAATATTATAAAGTAATTAAAATATATAATTTTTTTATTAATTTACATTATTCAAAAATAAGATTTTTTAGTAAAACAATATCAGGAATATTTTAAATAATTGCGCGCAAAGAATGATTATGATTTTATCATTTTTTAATTTTTTTTAAAAAGAATCGATCTTTTATGTATATACGTTATCTGCGATATAACTAATAATTTACTCAATCGATATCTAACCTAACCTAACCTAGCCTAACCCTGACTTTGTCTAACCTTATAAACGAAGCATGTGGAGTTCAATGTTTTATTTATCTCCACGTTCATTATACAAATTTGTGTATAACAAATTGTAAATAAGTAATTTAGCATTATGTGATGTTGTTTTGTTTTTAACAGCAATTACATATTGTTCATGTGTGTTAAATTCTTAAAGAAGATCTTAAATTAGATCTTTTATTTTCATGCAATAAGGTTAGAAAGACATGATTATGAAGAAAGAAAATATAAAAGGTTTTAAAAGTAAGTTATTATTATTGTATTGTATTTTTTTAAATATTTTGTGCTTGATACTCAATTATATAAAATTGTCTCTAATTACAGCGCTATGGATTCGTTTTGACGCAGAGAGTTCCGATAAGCATCAGTTGTTTTTTAAGGAACACTCTATAAGAAATCAAGAACCTGAGTATCCTAAGAATCATACTCTCTTTGTATTAAATGTGCCACCATATGCAACTACTGATTGTTTGAAATATGCATTTGCCAAACTTTGTGGAGATGTTCGCTCTATTACATTTGCAAACGCGAAAGGATTTAAAACTGCATATATTGTCTTTGAAAAAGAATCCTCCTTGGATAAAGCAATGGAACTTTCGAAAAATAGTATAATTACACTGAACGATGATGAAAATGTGTGTCTCACAGGAATAGAAAGTGAGTTATATTTTTTATACTGCAAAAATAATTAATTTTTTTTATAACTTATTCATTCTTTTTGAATAGAATGGTGTAAAGAGTACAACAATTCTTTGTGCGATGAACAAGTAGCAAAAAAGGAAATCGAAGATTATATTGCTTTCTATGATAAGCAAATAGAGCAACGTCTGACAATGGAAAAAGCTGAGAAAAAGGATGACGAAGGCTGGACAACAGTATCAGGCAAAAAGAAAAGAGGGAAATTTGCACCATCTAGGAAGGAATCTACCATCGATAAGGTACAGCAAAAAGAGGAACAACGCAAGAAAAAGAAACAATTGCTTAATTTCTACACTTTCCAAATTCGTGAGGCAAAGAAACAAAGTAAGTATAATTGTAAATTACGCGATTTTTTTCTCACATAGAAATTCAATTAATATACTTATTTTTTTTCAGATTTAGCAGAATTACGAAAAAAGTTCGAATTAGATAAAAAGAGATTGCAAGAGTTGAAAGTAAAACGGACATTTAAACCATTTTAGGTATGTTAAATATTATTATAAGTAATATAAAAATATAAATTAAAATAAAATTATAAAACACATGTTTATATTTGTCATTCATAAGAATCGCAGTTTTTATGTACAAACAAAGTAAATAATTACTATTTAAGATATCATTGTCCAAATAAGTTGCATTCTCATTATTCTCAACATTATGATGGTCACGTTTCAAGCTGCTTTAGTCGCATAAGTTTGTAATGTCCATTCTATCAAAAAATGTTGGTATGATAATGGTTGCAAAAGCGCTAATAATTCCTCTGTAACAGATTAAATATATTTTATATATACACCAATAAATACAATTATAATATAAAATATACATATACATACGTTTATTTCCATAAATACAGTTTGCAGACATGGCTGCGCTGACAGCTTGCGCGAGTCGTTCCATGGCTAAATCACGCAAAACTGTATCTATGTTTGGACGATTTTGCAGATTTGTTGTCAACAACCGAGTAGTATATGCCAAGTGTTGTGCCGATATTGCGTGCTTATTGCTACCGCTGTTGTTCAGACGTAACACTGAGTCCATGAGCAATTGCTGAACCTTTGAATAAAATTTTCGCAATTCTTCCTGACTCTCTATGTCTGTGATATTGCTACGCAGAGGACTCAATATACACCATCTGCAAAAAAATAAATAATTTTGATATTAGATATTTTTATTTCTCATTTTTATTTCTCATTTTTGTATGAGAAGTTAATTGCAGAATACCTGAACAAGCCTGCTATAGGTGTTATTGGTGTCATTGGAATTCCACCAGTGGGCAGCGCAGGATTGTCCATTAGTGGAGTCAATAGTAAACCTGGATTTTCATCAATCCATTCACCTACTAATCTAAGTAGCTCAGTAGGCGGATCTTTATCCTCATAAACTTCGCCTATTGCCGTTAGTAAATTGGCAGTGAAATGTGGCGCAAGTGCAGGCAACAGCTTCAACTTGTCAATTGATTTTGGAGTAAGCACAAAATAGTCATTGAGTACATGCTTTGCTAGACCTACGCTCTGTGACGAGGTGGAACCTAATTGCTGCATCCAGATACCAGCTGCATTTAGTACTGCTTTATTTTGTGTGGCAATTGCCAATGATACCAGGTTGCCTAAGACATTGTATCTGAAACTGTCAGCTGGAAAAAGTGACAAAAAGAGAGCGTTGCGTACTGCAGGACTTCCACCTGGACTTTGAAAAAAGTCACTTATAATTTCTATTAATTGCAGCTCCAGTATTGCTATGGACATGTTACGTTTCTTTCGTCTTTCTATTTCTCCAAACACAAATTCTGATATCAAATCCATTTGCAGATCGACTTGTTTGCCAGGCCTACAGCAGAGTATTTCTTGAATAAAAAAAATAATGTGATTACAATATGGTTTTTTTTTTTCAGTGAGAGATATGCAATATTAAATTTGTATTAGCATAAACGCAAAAAATGTAGTTAAAACAGACTACTGTTGTCATAATATAACCTATTCTTACCGATTCTGCATAAAGCTTCTCTGGCGCAATAAGGAAAATCGAGCTTTCTAAGAGCCTGTCTTATATCATTCCCAGACATTTTAATCTATATATAATTGCGAACTGTACTATAAAACAATTTATTCAATTTTCAGCGTCCGCTGTGGCCCGTCGAGACAGCGGTCATATGCGATCATATGTCTTTATCATATGTACAGTGATGTGTGTATGCGCGCCATCGTGACGCGCAGCGTGAATGCAGCGCAGCGCCGCCGGTGGATCTCGCCACGCAGTGGTGCCACCAGCGAGTAGGTTGCGAAGCGCATTATTAGTCAAAACAATCCACCGAATTCGTGATCTATTTTTAGGTCGCGCCCACCGGAGCTGTGGTGCATCGCCGTTTTTCCCCGCAGGCCCGAAAAAAAGTTCGCGCGGCCGGTGCCCTTCCGCGACGCCGTCTCGCACCCGCGATAAGGTTCAACGACCCCCCACCGCGATTGTGACAAGTAAGAAACCGTGGCCGAGCGCGGCCGGCCATGTTTATACCGTAGTGAGAATTTTCGAGCCGTGCGCCGACCGACCAGCCGCCGTGAACTACGAGCGGGACTCTTTCCACGTGCGTCTGCCAGCGCTAGATCCAAGCCGTACGTTCGTACCGAGTCTAGGAAGCCGACAGCCCGCAGCGCAGCGTCCGCGGAACGACTATGGAGACCTCCGAAAGGGGTAAGTCCGCTAAGAATTGCCAGCCTGCGTGAGAAATTGCGACAATATTGAGCCTCTGACACGAATCGCGCGACGCCCCCGGGGGCAATGGCAGTGTCAGGGTCGAAACGGAACTGGTTCAGTGACCGCATTCGCTCGGGACGACGGCGCGTCTCCGCGACGCGTTTCCGTCCGGATATACGCTCGCGCTTGACGACCAGCTGCGGACCGGCCGTGGACATCGCGACGGATCGTCGGCCGCGGGATTTCGTGAAAATCGCCGCGGCGATCGAATCTATGTCATGCCTCGCGCTTTTGGCCGCGACTGTACCAACGCGTCACCCTCCTCTCCCCGCATTCACCGTCTTGCTCGCGCACAAACGCGCCACGAATGCTTTCGACAAGGACGGAGCGCGCGAGTGTATACCTCGGGGGCATCATCCTGCGAATCGTTCTCGGCACGTGGTGGAACCGTCGAGAAATCTGAGACAGCGAACCGCCTGTGCTCGATCGCGTCCTCTCGCTGTTTAGCGTCGTTTGCCGAGAGCGACGTACGGCGACGACATTTCACCGCTGTGTTGGACACAAGAGAGAGAGCGAGCGAAATAGGGAGAGATAGTGAGGGGGTGAGAGAGGTAAAGAGAGAAGGGGAGAGAGAGCCGATGGATTCGCGGCGATTCCGCGTTGCGCAACGCCGCGATCGTAACTGCGTGTCTTTAACCCACATAGACAGCCCAGCGTACGCTGGTCGCGGCAGCGTGCGCGCGGGAATCGGAGTCACGGTGTCGTTTGACAACAAGCGCGCACGGGCGCGCACGTGAGAGTTATTATCGCCTGACCGGGTCCGGTCACCGCGGCTGACGGCCGCATGCCGTGCCGTGCCGTACCGTGCCGTGCTGCGCCGCGTCGCGACGTGGCGACACCTGCCGACCGCTCGTGCGCGCCCTACCTCAAGTCATCGCGAATTAACCCTCCCGCATCGTCGCCGTTCAACCCTCCCGACTTGCGCCGCACACCTCCCTCGATCGAAGCGGGGAAAATCTTTGACTTTCGTCGGGGAATAATGCTTTACGCGGAAAAACGACAACAAGGTTAGAATAAATATCTCATGTGTCACGCTACTTCGGAACTTCCGAGAAGAACAGACATCGAAATGTTCCCCGTACATAATATTTTTTTATTATAAGCTACAATGAACTTTTATCTATTCTGTATCTTACTTTTCGAGCCGAATTATATTAACTTTTGTTAAGTACAAAAGTAAAAGTAAACTGACATCGTGCACTCTGAGAAGAGAAACTATTCGAAGGAACGAAATTATCATTTGAATGCGATCGAAAATAACATGAGGTTGATCACTGGCGGATCCTGAAGGGAGTTAAACTCTCTCCCCTCCCCCCTTCCAAGATAAAAAAATCAATTTTGCTGGATCCGTTTCAAAAATCTTGGTAAAAAATGCATTAAAGCAGGTCAAAATCCCCCCCCCCCCCCCATTATCGACATCAGGATCCGATAGTGAGGTTGATTCAATGTATTGTAATTAATACGTTTAATACTTTAATGATTCGATAATTATAATTATTGGCACAATAGCGTCACAAGTATTGAATCAACACAATTTGTTGAGTAAACTAATATGCGACAAGTTTGGCATAATATTATATGAAATTACACGCCGAACAGATATTACGATCTTCGGGAAAGTAAGAGGAAATCGTATTACGCTCATGAATACGCGTCGACCCTGCGCGCGAGTAAATTACACTCGCGAGAGCATTTCTAAGTTTGGCTTGGCGTTGGATGTGGTGTGTACACGACTCAACCGCCGACCTTTCTGCATTCATTCCGGTCTTTGCGAGATCACGGCCGCGACTCCGCTCCTCGTACCTTTTTCCCGTTGCTCTTTTTTTCGCACACCATCGCGTCGCTTCTTATTGCTTTTCTTTCGCTTTTCAAGATGTCGCGCTCGAGTATGCGGCAGTCTATCTTCCAAAATAATCCGCAATCAATTGGTCCGATGAATTAAACTAGTATTTTACGTTTTTGTCTTTCGATTGTTTAGATATTTCTTTCCACACGAATTAGTGCAAAAAGTCCAACAGAAACATATTAGGTCCTTGAATAAGTTCTCGCTGTTTCTTAAAAGATGGCGTAGCGGCACTCTGTGCATGGAATTTCGTACGGAAACGCATCAGCTAAGTAGTACTATATGTAACCTCAAATTCTAGTAGATACAGTTTACCACAGTGTCAACCACGTGTTTAATTACCTATTGCGAAAATGTCTACTTTTGTGCCAAATAAAGTGTTTTTGCGGGGAATTTTATTGCACTGCTTTATTCAAAAGAAATCTGCAGCTAAAGCACACAGAATTCTTGTTGAAACATATGGTGACAATGCTCTGTCGAATACGACATGCAGAGACTGGTTTAGGCGCTTTAAAAATAATGACTTTGACCTTGAAGATAAAGAACGTTCTGGAGCACCGACAAAGTTTGAAGACGAAGAATTGGAGGCATTGCTTGATCTAGATTCATGTCAGACGCTAGTAGAGCTCGGGAAAACATTGCAAGTAGATGCGTCAACAGTTTCAAAACGTTTAAAAGCGTTAGGAATGATCCAAAAGCAAGGACATTGGGTGCCGTATGAGTTGAAGCCGAGAGACGTTGAACGACGTTTTCTCATGTGTGAATTGCTGCTTCAACGGCATAAAAGAAAAGGTTTTCTGCACCGTATCATCACTGGAGATGAAAAGTGGATACACTACGATAATCCTAAGCGTAGAAAATCGTGGGGTAAGCCCGGCCATGCATCAACATCGTCGGCAAAGCCGAATATTCATGGTTC